CATGCGCCACCATGCCCGGCTAATTTTTTCTATATATTTTTAGTTGTCCAGCTAATTTCTTTCTACTTTTAGTAGAGACGGGGGACTCACTCTTGCTCAGGCTGGTCTCGAACTCCTGAGCTCAATTGATCCTGCTGCCTCGGCCTCCCAGAGTGCTGGGATCACAGGCGTGAGCCACCGCGCCCGGCCAAGCAGGATTTTTAATTCCTTAGAGCAAGTAAGGAGAGCCCTGGGAATATTTTCCAAAGCCGCGTCTCCCTGGGGGAAAGTGACATGGGGTTTTCACGGGGCAGCGGAGAAAGAAAAAGACGCGTTATCACACACACGTAGGAAGGGCTTCCCGTGGCGTGGCGATCAGGAACGTTTGAGTTTATCTATGAGCCGCCAGGGTCTGTCGGGGGCTGGTTCTACCCGGCTGGGCAGCCAGGGGCCTCGCGAACAGCAGGTTGTGGAGTCGGTTGATTGCTCGAGGCGGCTGGATTCCTGTCGTCCCCGGTTCCCTCCCTTTCTGCACAGTCTCGTCCTCGCCGCAGTCTTCCGAAGTGAGCGTCAGCGTCCTCCCCAGTGTGCAGCTGACAGAGTCGACACAGAGCTCAAGCAACTCGCGCGAAGTCAGGCTGGTGGCGAAGCCTGACTCGAACCCGAGCAGTTCACGCCGGACCCTGTGCTCCCCTGAACGCAGCCGGACCCCACGATCCTGTCCAGTCGTCTCGCGTTGGCGCCTTTCCGTGCACAACCGAGAAAAGTGCTTCCCTGTTTTCCCGGCGCTGACTTTGCAACGTTCTGAGATTTTGCCTCCTGCGTTGGGAATGGTGCCGTCCGCCCCGGCGCGTTCGCGATCCGACTTCACGCTACGGCGCCAGCGGACGTTGCTGGAAAAGAGAAGCGCCTTCCGGTTGGCGCGTTCGTAGCTCAAGCTACGTGCCGGGCGTTCCTGCCTGGAGCGTGGCCGTCCCCCGCGAGGACTCCGCCCGTGGCTCAGAAAAACGCCGAGAACATTCGCCTGCCCTGCCCGGGGCTTCCGTAGCTTCTTTAGAGGCCGAGGACCTTGGCTTCTGTCACCCGAGCTCACGCAGGCGTGTTGATGACGCCTTGTGGGAGCCACGCGCGACGGGAGGCTCCCAGCAGCCCAGGGGGGACAGAAATCAGGCAGGTCCCTGTGTTCAGTTGCCATCAGGGGAGACAGAAATCACACCTGTCCCCGTGCAGCTTGACTAAGATCAAGGGTAAAGTCACACCCCAAATGGGGTCGTTTGTAAATAATTACAGCCGTGCGGTGCTTGCGAGCCCTGATGTCTCCTGAGAAAAGTCATTCGCTGATTTCATCGCCGTGGGAACACGAGCAGTGCCTTGCCCAGGCCTGGTGGCGTAGCCTGCGACACTCCGAGGCTCCACGGGACGGCCTTCTGGCTCCCAGGTGTCAGCGGAAAAAAGACCAAACTCTGTGAAACGATTTTAAAGAGATTTACTCTGAGCCAGATTCGAGGACCGTGGCCCGGAGCCACATCCAAGAGGTCTTGAGCAGTGGCCTCCCTGCGGCCGGGTCACAGTTTGGTTTTACACGTTTCAGGGCGACGGGGGTGACAGGTGGAGTCATAAATCAATACCTGGGAGGCTACATTGGTTTGGCCCCAAAAGGTGGCCCATCTCGAAGCGGGGCTTACAGGTCATAGGTGGGTTCAAAGAGTCTTCGGCTCGTAATTGTTAAAGACATGAAGCTTTGCCTACAGGCCTGGAATGTTCCAGCACAGGAGCTGTTGATCAGAGAGGAGCCACCGGACTTAGATTTGTTGTGCAAATTGAGGACTCGCGGGTGTGTCTTGCATAAATGGGTTACAGAGGACGTCCCCAAGAAGGGAGGGGCACAGTGAGGCCTGTCTGACCTCCTTCCTCCTGGCAGGCAGTTTAGTTTTAGGGTATTCCTTTGGCCATGAGGGGGTCCATTTTGTCAACTGGTGGAGGGTGAGCTTTAAAATTGTATTTCAGCTCTCACAGGCTCGTGCCTGGACGGCAGCTGCCGCCGTGAGCGTCGCAGGCGGCGGGGACGCAGCGCTGGGTGTCTGTGCCTCTAAGCATAGAAAGGGCGCAGCAAAAATAACGGTGTTACCGTCTTTGGGGACTGTTGTGTGCACAGTGCATCGTGGAAACGTCATTATGCGGCACGTGACTGTGTGTTCGAGGTTTATTGTTCTTTTTTTCCCCCAATTTTAGAAATGTGACCCAGCCTTGATTCTAGTTCCTGAGCCAACCAGTATAATCGACTGTGATCCTCCCAGATTTAATAGGGAAACTCGATTTTCATTTCTATACTTGTTCAGTGAACAGATTACGTTTCAGTTAACATCCGTATTAATCGCAGAGAACTGGGGCGTGTACACGCGTGGAGGCCTGAGTCTAGCGGCCTTTCGTCTCTTTGCTTTTCTTTATACCGGGGTAGATTTTGTGCTTAACTACAAACACGAATGCTGGATCCGGGCCATGTTATAGGTTGCGGGTGCGGGATCTGAAATCCCATTCAGAGAGCAAATCGAACACCGGGACCCTGGCACAGCCTAGAAGACTCCGGGCGCGGAGGAAGGCGGGTTGCCCGCAGCTCCCGTTGCAGCTCTGGGTCGCAACTTGGTTTTGTGCAGTTTCGGCTGCTGCCTCGCTGCCTGTTCTCTTGGGCCTGAAAGATGGATCGGGAAGGAGCAGGTGACACAAAACAGTCGTGTGCCGGCCTCTAACTGTTCTGGATCTTCTTTTTCATTGACCAGTGGAGCGTGGTGGCATTTCGTCATTAATTTCGATATCACAGTATCTTTTGATTTTTTTACGCGCACGGTATTTCTCATCCGTTTGTCTGGAAAGAAAATAATATAGTTGCTATTCTTATCAATGCTGATACATCGAGTGCAGTAATGAGCTAAATGTGTTCTGTGGCCCAGAGAGCAGCGTGATTCTCGCTCAGCTGACGAACAGGCAGCACATTCCAGAACGTTCGAGATGACAGAAAGGTACAGGATGACAAGTTAGATTGTTGGCATTTCGTGAGGATTTCAGATGTGGTGTGTTATTGTTACGAAAATATTGGGGCGCGGGGACCCCGCACATAGTTCTTTCTCGCAGATTGCTGCTAAACGTAGATTAAGGATGGGGAACAGGGAAAAGGGTATGATCTGAATCTCTAGGACGGTAAATTTGTAATTTGAAACTGTACTGGGACTTTTTATTACCCTGAGATGGTTATTTTTTTTTTTTTTGAGACAGAGTCTCACTCTGTTGCCCGGGCTAGAGTGCCGTGGCGTCAGCCTCGCTCACAGCAACCTCAGACTCCTGGGCTCAAGCGATCCTCCTGCCTCAGCCTCCCGAGTAGCTGGGACGACAGGCATGCGCCACCATGCCCGGCTAATT